GACCGAAAATCGCCCAGGTAGCAAGCGTATAAGTGCGAGAGAGACAGAAAATCGCCGAGATAGGAAGCGTATGAGTGCGAGAGAGACAGCAAATAGGCAGCGGGACTTGTGTGGTTTTTCCGTCAAAGCAGCATCGCGTTCCCCCGCCACCCTCCGAGAGTGGTTGCACCATCGGTTGCCCCGTTCAAGGGCAACAAGTGCGAGAGAGACAGAAAATCGCCCAGGTAGCAAGCGTATAAGTGCGAGAGAGACAGAAAATCGCCGGGGTAGGAAGCGTATGAGTGAGAGAGAGACAGCAAATAGCCAGGCGGGACTTGTGTGGTTTTTCCGTCAAAGCAGCATCGCGTTCCCCCGCGACCCTCCGAGAGTGTTTGCACCCTCGGTGTCCCCGTTCAAGGGCAACAAGTGCGAGAGAAACAGAAAATCGCACAGGTAGCAATTGTGTAAGTGCGAGAGAGACAGACAATCGCCGGGGTAGGAAGCGTTTGAGTGCGAGAGAGACAGCAAATAGCCAGCGGGACTTGTGTGGTTTTTCCGTCAAAGCAGCATCGCGTTCCCCCGCGACCCTCCGAGAGTGGTTGCACCCTCGGTTGCCCCGTTCAAGGGCAACAAGTGCGAAAGAGACAGAAAATCGCCAAGGTAGCAAGCGTATAAGTGCGAGAGAGACAGAAAATCGCCGGGGTAGGAAGCGTATGAGTGCGAGAGGGACAGAAAATCGCCCAGGTAGCAAGCGTATAAGTGCAAGAGAGACAGAAAATCGCCGGGGTAGGAAGCGTATGAGTGCGAGAGAGGCAGAAAATTGCCCAGGTAGCAAGCGTATGAGTGCGAGAGAGACGGAAAATCGCCGGGGTAGGAAGCGTATGAGTGCGAGAGAGACAGAAAATCGCCCAGCGAGCAAGCGTATTAGTGCGAGAGAGACAGAAAATCGCCGGGGTAGGAAGCTTATGAGTGCGAGAGAGACAGAAAATTGCCCAGGTAGCAAGCGTATAAGTGCGAGAGCGACGGAAAATCGCCGGGGTAGGAAGCGTATGAGTGCGAGAGAGACAGCAAATAGCCAGGCGGGACTTGGGTGGTTTTTCCGTCAAAGCAACATCGCGTTCCCCCGCGACCCTCCGAGAGTGGTTGCACCCCCGGTTGCCCCGTTCAAGGGCAACAAGTGCGAGAGAGACAGAAAATCGCCCAGGTAGCAAGCGTATAAGTGCGAGAGAGACAGACAATCGCCGGGGTAGGAAGCGTTTGAGTGCGAGAGAGACAGCAAATAGCCAGCGGGACTTGTGTGGTTTTTCCGTCAAAGCAGCATCGCGTTCCCCCGCGACCCTCCGAGAGTGGTTGCACCCTCGGTTGCCCCGTTCAAGGGCAACAAGTGCGAAAGAGACAGAAAATCGCCAAGGTAGCAAGCGTATAAGTGCGAGAGAGACAGAAAATCGCCGGGGTAGGAAGCGTATGAGTGGGAGAGAGACAGCAAATAGCCAGGCGGGACTTGGGTGGTTTTTCCGTTAAAGCAGCGTCGCGTTACCCCGCGACCCTCCGAGAGTGGTTGCACCCTCGGTTGCCCCGTTCAAGGGCAAGAAGTGCGAGAGGGACAGAAAATCGCCCAGGTAGAAAGCGTATAAGTGCGAGAGAGACAGAAAATCGCCGGGGTAGGAAGCGTATGAGCGCGAGAGAGACAGCAAATAGCCAGGCGGGACTTGGGTGGTTTTTCCGTTAAAGCAGCATCGCGTTACCCCGCGACCCTCCGAGAGTGGTTGCACCCTCGGTTGCCCCGTTCAAGGGCAACAAGTGCGAGAGAGACAGAAAATCGCCCAGGTAGCAAGCGTATAAGTGCGAGAGAGACAGAAAATCGCCGGGGTAGGAAGCGTATGAGTGCGAGAGAGACAGCAAATAGCCAGCGGGACTTGTGTGGTTTTTCCGTCAAAGCAGCATCGCGTTACCCCGCGACCCTCCGAGAGTGGTTGCACCCTCGGTTGCGTCGTTCAAGGGCAACAAGTGCGAGAGAGACAGAAAATCACCCAGGTAGAAAGCGTATAAGTGCGAGAGAGACAGAAAATTGCCGGGGTAGGAAGCGTATGAGTGCGAGAGAGACAGCAAATAGCCAGGCGGGACTTGGGTGGTTTTTCCGTTAAAGCAGCATCGCGTTACCCCGCGACCCTCCGAGAGTGGTTGCACCCTCGGTTACCCCGTTCAAGGGCAACAAGTGCGAGAGAGACAGAATATCGCCCAGGTAGCAAGCGTATATGTGCGAGAGAGACAGAAAATCGCCCAGGTAGGAAGCGTATAAGTGCGAGAGAGACAGCAAATAGCCAGGCTGGACTTGGGTGGTTTTTCCGTCAAAGCAGCATCGCGTTCCCCCGCGACCCTCCGAGAGTCGTTGCACCATCGGTTGCTCCGTTCAAGGGCACCAAGTGCGAGAGAGACAGAAAATCGCCCAGGTAGCAAGCGTTTAAGTGCGAGAGAGATAGAAAATCGCCTTGCACGACGCGATTGTGTGCGAGAGAGACAGAAAATAGCCAGGCGGCTAGCTAAAGTGTGCGAGAGAGACAGAAAATCGCCCAGGTAGCAAGCGTATAAGTGCGAGAGAGATAGAAAATCGCCTTGCACGACGCGATTGTGTGCGAGAGAGACAGAAAATAGCCAGGCGGCTCGCAAAAGTGTGCGAGAGAGACAGAAAATCCCCCAGGTAGGAAGCGTATAAGTGCGAGAGAGACAGCAAATATCCAGGCGGGACTTGAGTGGTTTTTCCATCAAAGCAGCATCGCGTTCCCCCGCGAACCTCCGAGGCTGGTTGCAACCTCGATTGCTCCGTTCAAGGGCACCAAGTGCGAGAGAGACAGAAAATCGCCCAGGTTGCAAGCATATAAGTTCCAGAGAGATAGAAAATCGCTTTGCACGGCGCGATTGTGTGCGAGAGAGACAGAAAATCGCCCAGGTAGGAAGCGTTTAAGTGCGAGAGAGACAGCAAATAGCCAGGCTGGACTTGGGTGGTTTTTCCGTCAAAGCAGCATCGCGTTCCCCCGCGACCCTCCGAGAGTGGTTGCACCCTCGGTTGCTCCGTTCAAGGGCACCAAGTGCGAGAGAGACAGAAAATCGCCCAGGTAGCAAGCGTATAAGTGCGAGAGAGATAGAAAATTGCCTTGCACGACGCGATTGTGTGCGAGAGAGACAGAAAATAGCCAGGCGGCTCGTTAAAGTGTGCGAGAGAGACAGAAAATCGCCCAGGTAGGAAGCGTATAAGTGCGAGAGACAGCACTTCTCTCTCCCACACATTAGCAAGCTCCCTGGTTGTTTTCTGTCTCTGTTGCACACATACATAAGCGGGCTCCCTTGCTGTTTTCTGTCTCTCTCGCACACATTAGCGGGCTCCCTGGCTGTTTTCTGTCTCTCTCGCACACATTAGCGGGCTCCTTAGCTGGTTTTTTATCTCTCTTGCCTTCATTAGCAGGCTCCCTTGCTGTTTTCTGTCTCTCTCGCACACATTAGCGGGCTGCCTGGCTGTTTTCTGTCTTCTCGCACACTCGCGTGTTTCACCAGGCGATTTTCTATCGCTCTCTTACACTCAGGCGTCCCGTTTGGGTTTTATCTATATTTGTTGCACACGTACGCGAGCCGAGTTACGATTATGGGTCTCTTTTGCGCATTTTAGCAAGCCCCCCTGCTGGTTCCTGTCCCGTGCACACGAAACTTTCCCTTTGGACGAGTGAGTGCCATCATAAAGGCAACCGAGGGTGGTCCTCTATGTTTTTCCCATATAATTTCCATTTTTAGGAAAGGAAAAGGTAAGAAATTTATTAGAAATTCTTTTATTTCAATCGCTGGGGTAACATGGAAATCCGTCAAACAGTTGAAAAATAAATTTAATTTATTTAAATTTAATATTGTTTCAACGTTCTTAGGGGAGCTTTTAGCCTCCAGTCCATTATTCTGTTTTACCCTCAATCGTTAATAATTCAGATTATTTTGTACTCTAGCAAATTTCATGAATACCTAATATAGTTACTTTTTAGTTACTTTTCAACTCAGTCGAGTCAAATTTAGGCGAGCAGTTAGCCTTGAAGTGATGGTGGGTCCCACTTATCCCGAGTCCCCTCTAAACGAAAAATACACTTATCTCCTTCGCTGTTTTCTCCACGTCAAAGTGTAGTGCCTGCTTGTAATCCGTGTAAGACATGCCTTGAAATCAATGCTTTTCGTTTGTTTACCTCTGTATTTATCTTCCTACTTTCTAGATGAGGCCCGCGTTTGCAAACACTTGTCTAGCCTGACCTTAAGTCGTGGCCACTCAAATTGTATAAAACCTGCCTCGACTGTGAATAAAATTGTTGTTCAACAATATCACAAGTTGAATTCGTCATTTTGTGTGTGTGGAGCAGCCATTATAAAAGGACTTCCAGACAAAGTTGCTTGGTATTCCAATAGACCTTACCTTCAACTACCAAAAAACACACACAACCAATTTTGATCAAAGTCATGCTTCTGAGCACATGATTTTATTTTGTTTTTCCATCCCCCCTTTCTCAACTCGAAAAAACACGAAATGGTTCGTATTTCTGTTTCCCTTTTGCCTTTCCTTCCTGTTTTTATCTAATGTGCTTTCAGTGGGGTCGAGCCATTTTCTTGTATCTCACCTGTTGAAATACAAGCAAAACGAGCTATGGCACGCAGGTGAGGCAGCTGGGCTCTGATCTCTGGTCTCGAATTTCTGAAACTGCACTTATGCACCTTGTCTTCCAAGCCCTTCAATTATTCCATAGTTCTCTCCTGATTGTCTGAAAGTTTTTTGAAAGTTTTACTCACAACTTTGAGTTTCATTTTGTGTATAGGACATCGACACACGGACTATGGCAAAAATTCTTCTACATCCTGGTTAAGTTGATTAGTATAAAGCTTTTTAAAATTCAAGCTTTGAGTTACAAAAGATGAAATGAATACAACAAACAGTGCTGGATGACAGAAAACGGATAACAGGTTGGCAAAATACATGTTAGAAAAGATTTTAAAATTACTTAGACATTCATTCACAAAATTTTATTTAAAGTTACTTAGACGTTTATTCACAAAATTTTAATTACATAGTAGACAAAACAATGTGCAGTTGTGAAAATTAAAATTTAGGATGACTTTCCTCACTTTAAAGATAAGCAAAAGAAAACAAAACTGCAACTCCATTCATGTGTCATGTGGTGTTGAACATGGACAACTTTAGTCACAGCCAGTTCTGTCGCCTTTGGTCCATTCTGCTTGATAAGTAATCAGTGGTCATGTGTTTATCCTCTTGATAAAAAAAAGAGCCCATTCTGTCGCCATTAGTCAGTCACGTATATCCTTAGGTTAACTTTATTGCCAAATTTATTTGTACTATTGTTTTGAAAAACATGGTGACAAAATGCCGCCAACTATAGGCGTTATAGCGTTATACCTTTTATTCTCCATGTAGAAACCAGTAGTAAACTTGCTCTATAGCAAGAGGCCACAAACAATTCTTTAGAGAAATATAGAAATAAGAAAATAAGGAATTGATTGAGGAACAGTTGCACTGAATTGCGACTTTTACTAGTCAGAGACCAGGGTTTAAATTTAACTTTCGATAAAGCATTTGCCAGGTGCTTATAGTGTTTGTCAGCGTTGGCAATTTTTGAAAGTTGGCAATAATGTTTTTTCTCCATTTTAATGTACATAAAACAGTTGATTCTTGGTGAGGCAGCTTGCCTCACTTAAATCGATATTTTCCATGGATGTAAATGAAGGCAAGACAGTGTTACCAACTTGCTCGAATATTTTCTGATTTTCCCTTCTGACGGGTGAAATCTGAGTAGAAAGTTAGGGTAACAAGAAGTGATAACACTATTTTCACTTACCCTCCTATCAAATGTAATCAGCAGTTTGACCAGAGGCGATGAAACCAGCCTTTACAGAATTCTGGATGATAAGTCAATGATGGGATTTGAATCTGTGAGGCAGACTAGTGTCCTACAAAAGGTAGAAACAGAATTTGAGTGAAATAAGGTAAGCTGCTAGCTTCTTCAATCCAGGCGTCTCTTCTTCACCAGACCTCCAAGCTGAAACAAGTGAACAAAAATGCTTAGAATAGGGTTTTTCATAATTTCTTCATATTGCCATTTATTTACTTTTCCTAATTCTTCATTGAGGTTTTGTCTTTTTCCCTCACTCCAAAATTTCCAAAGTTCGTTACTACCTCCTACTTTGTCTTGAATTATCCTGACCTTTGATCAAAACCTCCTTTTAAATTTTTTTTTTTTAATTACGCGGACTTCTTCTGAACAATAGGCGTTTCTACTTCTTTATGTACTTTCAAAGTCCCTGTGTTCTCCTTGTATTTTCCTTAACTAGTTGCATAAACTCTTTACAACTTATTCGTCACAGAGTTGTAACACAATCACTCTCCCAAGGTTCTGATAAAAAAGGAAGAAAAAGAAAAAGAGAAAGCATAGGAAGAAAAATAAAAAAGAAAGGAGAAAAATAGGATTAAAAAGGAGATAAGAAAGAGGACAAGTAAAAGAAGAAAAGAAGCACATGTCTGTATAAGAATGAGAAATGCATCCTGTGCCAGTAATTCGTTAGGATTAGAGGGAAAGCTTACCAGATCTGCAATTGGCGGAAGATTATTTGTCTGGTCATTCGATGAATCTGTGATGACAGGTGGTGGTGGAGGTGGGGCACTTTTAGCGGGCACAGCTTTCAGATTTCTATGCTGGGGGAAAGTTGGCATCATCTTCGGTTCACAGGCTGCAAATATCAGTAAAAACTATGCTAAGCGAAGTAAAAATATATAAACACAAAACTAAACTAATAACTATAAACTGAGCCTGGATGGACCTCTTGACAGGATATGAATTGAGCTCTTCCCCTGCGGCAGGGATTTGCGATTTAAGCACTTCTTCTCGAGTCCTTCCTCAGGAACAAGGTCTGAATGAAAGGAGAAAGTTACAAATTTTCTCTTGAATGTCTTGCGCGGAAAATAATTCACACAAGGGGAACTTTGGAAATCAACTCCTGAATAAAAGATTAAAAATGGTTTCCAACACAGATCAAGTGAAAGTAAGACAGTACAAATGACATCATTTGTATTTTTGCTAATTGATCAACATTGATTGTAAACACTTATATCTTGTTTAGGACTTGATTTACAGGTTCCCGGTTGTGTGATTCCTTTGTTCAAGACATTTTGAAAAGAAAACATGTTTCGTGGTGATTCAATTCACACCTTGCCTAGACCATTGGATCAATGACGTAGTTACGTCGCCGATTAAGAAATCCGCATTGTCATTTGTTTCTTTGCTGCAAAAAGTGTAATTCGTTTCTTCGCTGCGAAAAATGCTATTTGTTTCTTTGCTACTATAAATGAAAAGAATTTGAATATCTATGATTATTTACTTGCAGTGTACGGTGATGAGTTTTCAAAACGTATGTAAATGGCAGATGAATGGTGGGCGGTGTATGCGTTTCCATAGTGACATCCATCCATTGTATTGCATCTACTTGTCCTGTCACGGTCGCTCCTACATATATTTGTCATTCACCCCCTTATTTCCCTGTTTTCCTTTCCCTTTTACCTATATGATTATACGATCAGGCGGGTGTAAAAGTTTGCATGGCATACACTGAGAAACGTCCATTTAGAATTCTTGGTCTTTTTATAGGAGACCATTTTGCAAGTAATACAGTTCACAAAATTTTTGAAGAAGCCCTATGTAATATTGACATAATTTATGATTTTTTGCCACTATGTATTGAAATTGAAAGATTAGATGTTGCAAAAATGTTACTGGAAAAACTCGATTTCTAGATGGGTTTCTCATTTGGTGGATTGAACTCAATGGGAATTTTCCGAGTAAAAATCAAATTTCTTGTAAACCCCTGATTCAAGTTTTGAAAATGAAGGCTTTTTTGAGGACTTTGGATAAAGAAAACTAGGTACTTTTTGTAAATTTGATTTATCGTTATTACTTCCTGAGATAAAGACTTTCTTTTTGGATAACCCTTGTGTTCATTCTGCCGAGCTAGAGAAACACACAGTGGGCATGATCATCTGGGCATTGCCAAATATGTCCTGATAAAATACAAATTTCCAATCAAACTTGTGAATTTTTTCTTTGATTATCTTAGGGTATTGGTTTGCAATTTGATCTTGATTATCAGATAATTTCCAGGAAAAATATGCATAACTTTCCTTCAAAAAAATATCTTGTAAAGGGCAATTCAAGACAATACAAATGTTCATACAGCTTTTCTCCTTAGCATTACAAAACATATGTTTACATGTTTCACATTTCTTTTACACAAAAGTCATTATATTGAGGGAGGGCTTACGTAGTGGAGTTTCCCTGAAATATGAGCTCTGAAGACATTCCTCGGCTGTGGCGCGCTGTTTTGGATCATACATGAATAAGAAGTTTAACAGACGGAGTCCTGCAGCAGAGAGCCAAGGGAATCTCTGTTTCAGGTTGTTGTAAGGTTGATGTTTAAGCGTGAAATTCTGAAGTGCTGGTAAAGAAGAGTACTCAGGCCAGATAGCATCAGATGGTGTGCCAAGCAAGTCAATAATCAGCTCAATTTGAGCAATTTCAGATCGGCCAGGAAGCAATGGTTTATGACCTGTTCAAAAACCAAGGACAGAAAATTAAAAAATGTGATGATGACTTTAAATAATATGTCCACTTAAGAGGAATTTAAACAGGAGATTTAGATTTTCCGCACTTTCAAAATCTTCGTCTCCTCATTTTCTTCCAATAAGGGTCCAAATTTTGTTGGCAGCAAACTTTTGTTCGAAGATGGCTAGAAGCATGTTTGGCCATTCTTGCTTGACAGATGATTAAAACAATCCCTGCCAACACTTTTCTTCATAATTATTCCTGCCAAGCCAATGAAACTTGCAACAAAACTGTAAAATTTGCGGGTCATAAACTACGATAATTGATTGTTATCGAAATGTTTCCGCTTCTGTAACAACTTACTTCATGATTGGTTCCATGGTAGATATACAGGCAGCATTCTGATTGCTCAGCAATGTGATTGACATCTACTACAGAATAGACTGGGCACTATGACTGTTTTGACCAGTGTGGACACTTAGAAATGGTCAACTGATGAGGATTTATAAATGGGATAAATTAGCTGTAAACTGTCTACAACTTCTGGATACCTCGAGTTCAGAATGATATTCACAAGATTTTTAGTTGCTTGTATATTGCAGCCCGCTCCAGTCACAGAAAAGTGGAGCATAAGTTCTCTGATTGGCTGAAAACGCTTATTTTGTGTTATATTTACTCAATTTGTTTGCGAATGTAAGCCAACAAGAATTGGGTCCTGAGTTTGAAGTGAAAAGACCCATTGACAAAAAACAAATTAATGTCAAGTTCACTTTTAGAGAAAAATTAGCAGATAGAATACCACAAAAATCTTATCTGATTGGTAAAATACAGTCAGCTTCAGGGTTGCCAAAGAATTTAGAGGATAAAATTCCCTAAAATCTCTTTGATTTCCCTGCCACATTTTCGTACATTCCCTGGCAATTGAAAATATGCCAGATGGTTAAAAAGACATAATTAGAAACAGTTTTCACACACAAAATCTGCACATTGAAAAACTAAACCTATTCTGTAAAGCAACTAAAGGTGACTTAACAATTTTTCCCATACATTTTCAGGTTGACCTTATTTTTTTTAAAATTCCCTGACTGTGGTAACCTGCAGCTCTTGGAACAGTCTAAAATATGTGAATATCACTAGCTGCGCTAACGCGCAAGGTGAACACCAATGTTTTTCAAGCCAACTGATTGAGTCTTCAAACCGAGTAATAAACACTCTGACTGATTTGTCCAGGACTGAGAATCCTAAAAATGGTAAGAATACACTTACCAAGAAGTTCACCAAATATACAACCAGCCGCCCACATGTCGATAGCAGTTGTCTGAGTCTTTGATCCGAGTAATAATTCAGGGGCGCGATACCAAATAGTCACCACTCTTGGGGTCATAGGCCGTGCAGGTATCCCGAACCACCTTGCTAATCCAAAATCAGCTGTAGACAGAAAAAGCATAACAAATATAAACGCTAAAAATAATTACAACACTAAGAGACATACCTTTCAAGACAAAATTAAAAAAAAAACCATTCGGAAAATTCTACGGTTGATAGAAATAATTATCGTTAGTTTGGAGATTTTTTGCATATTGGTGTCAAAATTGGATGAAGATTTAAAGTACTGCAATTACTTTCTTAGAGAGATATCAAATGGTTTAAGGCTTCTCACACTTCCCAAAAAATGTGTGCAATGGTTCTCTCATAAAAAGAAAAATGTTCAAATAACCTGATAGCACACAATGTTAATATTTGCACATCAAAATATTGTAAAAAAATATTGTAAAAAGGGGTAAAATAAACAAAAAATTAACTGTCTCAGTAGTATTTTTTTCAAGAAAAATACGTAAAAGGTACGAATTATCTCTCCTAGCCTCTTGAATCATAAATTTGTTACGTAAAATTATTGAATTCTGACTGTTCATAATTTCTTTATAAAAGTTTTCACTACAACTTTCAAACTCAAAAAAGTACCAGTTTTCCATTTTTTTTTAATGAAGCAATTATTGTGAACTTCTACACATAAGAATTTTACACATTGTAACTAAATTTAAAAATAAAGTGGATGTTGCAAACAACAGAGTAGTTTACGTCATTTATCATATGTTGTTTGGTTTTGTCTAATACTTATTGATTCAGACCTGGGGGTTTGCCAGCTCTCAGGGCTCCACCCTCTTGAGGTGTCTTGTTTCTGGGGTGTTATATAATAGCAGGAGTGCTTCAGTATTTGGATGGCTATGGAGACGTCTTTCGTAATTAATGGATATTTATTGATACGTTGGGCCACCGTCTCTATGCCTGGACCCATTTTTCCCCCTGTTATTTTTACAAGATGTGCTACTAGGATGAATACTAGAACAATGCAGAGAAGATAAGTTTCTTTGTGCAGGGGACAACAAATTGTTCGATAGTATTAAAAAAAATTCAACATAAAGATGCAAATTCTATGTAAAGCAAAAACCCCTACAAAAATTAAAAACTGGTGGATATTATGGTAAAATTCAATCTCACAAACAAAATTACTTCCAAATATAATTGGTGTTTATAGGATCAGAGGACATACCGATTTTGACACAGCCTTTGTCCGTCATTAATAGATTTGACACTTTAAGATCTCTGTGTACAACGAAATTATTGTGTAGGTAACTGAGGCCTCTTAGAAGTTGGATCATGATGCACTTGACTTGGGATTCTGTAAAGGGAGCTTGCATGTTGTCCAGCAGACTCGCTAAGTCTTGTTCACAATATTCCATTGCTAGAAATATACTGAAAAAAAGAGAGAAAAAACACACAAAAAATCTAAAATATAGTTTTAAAGAAAGATGTACCTATGGCAAATGAACCAAAGCCGTATCTTAAAAAATAATTAAACAATTAACAGGTATAAGAGCGTGAATAAGAGTAGTATAATATCATAGTTATAACACTAATTTTCAAAATCGGTCATGTCCATCCTGGATTGCTTTTCTTTTCCTGATTAAAGTAAAATTTGTCACCATGAAAACTAATTCTGAAGGTAAAATACAAAAATGCTAAATGTTACAATTAGAAGGTTATATTGAATTATAGATTCTGTGATTTCCTAGTTTTGGCCCTTTTAAAAATTAGTATTCTTCCTAGAACTTATTGGGAATGAGAACATTTAGGAACGGCTCTACCTTCAAATAAATTTTTATTTAAAAAGAAGACATAATCTAAAATCCAGTAAACAATTCCAACTGACTTAACCTTAAAAACAAGTTTGGCTAAATCGATGAAGAAAAGTGTGCAATGAACGATGCCGAAATCTGTTTGCGAACATCTGCATGACTCTTTTTTTCTTTACTTAGGTGTGACTATTAAAGCGACTTTGCGGCGCCAGACAGCAAACACGTCAGACTTCGAGTTGTGAACCACAGTCACACCGGGAGCGTATGACGTCACCTATCAGACTTACAATCTTTTGCCACTTTTGCGAATTTTTCATTCTGGATAAAGCCATCTTACTTCTTATACCTTCCCGCTTCAAATTTAAATACTATCTCATTTTCTATTTTAGGGTTGCCGTCCCCTTTGAATCATTCAAATAACACAGTTACGTATGCTGACTAAATGTAGCCCCAACATGGTAGATTATTCCCTACGTCATCTTTTAAGCTCTGGAGTTTGTCGTATATCTACAGAATTACCTGTCTAAACTTCGCCCCACAACAACTTCCTTTAGCTGGACAATGTTTTCATGCCTACAACTTAAGAGAATTGAAATTTCACGCAAGTCGCCAACTGGTAATCCATCATGCTCGTGATCCATTCGAACTTTCTTTAGGGCTACAATTTTGTCCATTTTGGTGTCTCGTGCACGGTCTAAAAAACATATCAAAAATAAGAATGAGTTGTTCCTGAATAAATCAAACTTAAGGCAGTATGATAAGTAGAAAATGCAAAATTGTGAGGAAAGGAAGTAGGAATGACACTCTAGTATTCATAGAAAAAATTGTTTACAGAAAAAACCTGTTTGTTTTACAGTTGGAGAACCATTGTTCCACAGGGTATCAGCTGTCATACTTTTGGTTCTTCTAAGAATGTTTACTGGCACTACATTTTGTATTCACTGATGTTTGAATGCCTGACTTCACATGGACGTCTACAAAGGTGCACACTCTTTTTGGTACTGTATCAACCTTCGCAAAAGAGAGATGGAAGAGTTACAAGGGATCATTCAAAGAACCAAAATATTATGTGCCTGAAGTCTTGCATATACGATGTTTAAAAAATGACTTTGAAATACTTGTAAGAATTTACGATAAAATGATCCATTAAAGCAAAGTTTGAACAATCTTTAAACATTTGACTGTTTGAAGTTTTTATTTCCATCATTTGTAACAAGTTGCGAAGCTACATAAAATCAGGAAAGAATGTAGCTTTGTGCTGAGTAAAGTTACCAATGGTGATCTGAGTAAGAATTGAAATCGATTGAAAAATACTTACAAACAATCCCGTAGGTCCCTTCGCCAATTTTATTCAATTTTTCGAACTCGGATACAAATCTGCATCTACCAAGCTGAGAAGAAGAAAATTGAAATCAGTGCATAAAGTTGGTGAGTAGTTGAATGATAGCTGGTGTTCTACGGTATAGCCTGGCCTTTTTTGCCAACGCAAGATAAATTTATCATACTTGCGAATTCGTATTATCGACTAGGAAAAAATTCATACAGGAAATTCTATTAACAGGGAAAAATTTCTTTAAAATCAACGCCACTTCACTGAGAATGGGAGAAACCTGTGCAAACTAAGTCATGCCAGGCTTCACCTTCTCCCTTGTATTTCTTGCAAATGTGGCTCTTCCATGTGCCATTCCTCTGGAACATAACATTATTTAGGGACAGCCTAATCCAGCTAAGAGAGTTTGAGAAGAAATATAATATTTCCTTACGATATCTTGCTCTGGAATCTCCATTGGTTTTTTCGTGAGGAAGGATAGTAAAACTCCCTTCCGAGCAACAGGAATGACAGGATCATTATTTTTGATCGACTCATCTTTGGTATCCTCTCCTTCTCCCATAGCTGAAAAGTCAAACAGACACAAATGAAAATGCTGTAAACTAAGGTGTTTTAAAACAAGGCAAGAGATTCCATCGTAACTGGGACGCTCTACCTCCCCACTTCAATACACTGTTGAAAACAGGTGTTATGTTAAGAAAAAATACTATTCGCGATGATCTACGGGAAGTGCAGAGGCAAATTCTCAGTGCGAGCAATTATTGTTAAGTTGAATAAAAAAATTGGAATTCGATCAATTGGCGGTAGACTCTCTCCCAAGGGCTTTTCTTTCCATAGAAACTGCAGAGAATTGTGATGAACCGCAGGACTTTCTTTTTATTTGAATCACAGATAATCGCAACAGTACGAGATGAAGGGCCTCACTTTTATATCCCAGTCAACTGGCACAGTCCAGCCCATTCCTTGCATTCCGGTGGAACGCGAGAATCCTTTTTACGAGGTGGATTGCGAGCGGATGTGTGCGAGCCGCTCAATCGAACCAGTGTGCGATCCTTGCATTTCCCTGGAACGCTCTTCCAAGATGATTGTCTAGCAAGTAAATCCACAGATAACCCTATCCATTGCGTACCATGGTTAAACAAAAGCCCTAGAAGTAATCATTACTGCGGCAGCAACTGCTTTCTTAAGGAACAAAATGGTCTCAGTTTAATGCGACTAAATAGTGTGACACTGCCGAACCCTAGATGAGATATTAATGTTGCGACTAATGAGCTAAAATCATACTTAAGATAAAGTAAAGGAGTGTTTTTACTTGTGGTAATATGAGAATCTTCTATAAGTGGTGCTGAAGCCTGGTCAGAAATAGAGTACCTAGCCAGAAAGATATTGTGTGATGTTACAAGTTGTCTTTGGTGTAATGCAACAACAAATGATACTAGGTAATCACTGAGGGTATTCTTCAAAGTTTGGGGAAGGAATAAACTATAAATGGTAGCATTACTTGAACTGAAATTTGAGTGTAATTTCGAGAAATTTTAGTGCCTTCCAATCTAAAAAACTCAGATTTTTCCAGGAGCCGGTCAAAAAATTAAATGTAAACAAACAAATGTCAATATGCAAATGTCATGCATTAAAATGACTATGGTGCTGCACTCTCGTGAAGTCGCTCAAGAACTAAAAAAACCTTCATCGTACGCTCGATAGACCGCGCTGCATGAAAATCCCGGCAAATTCAAATTATTCAGATGGTCAGAAGTGACGTGAAGAGTGAGATCAGTTCTTGAATCAGAGATAGAATCATGGAAAAATTAACACCAATAAAAAACTCAATTGTTTCGAGGAATTGTTTTTAAAAAAAAAGGCTATGAAAAATTTAATGTCCGACTGAGAGTCAAATACGATTTCAAATAACATGCAGAACTTGCTTTTTTATCCTTTTCTTTCTTTGAGAACTTTGACTTTCCCTCTTCTTCTGGTGTTAGGAATGCTTCGAACTTACATTAAGGGGACTTGAAACCTATTTATAGCAAATAAATTTAACAGTGAGTCAGCAGAATTTAGAGTTGATATGAGTTGACTTTAATGTTGGATAAAAAATGTTTTCGTTAATTTTTAGTCTCAATTGTTTTCACTAGCTATAAATTAATAATTCGTCTTCACCAAAACTTAAGTGATACCAGAATTAGACGCAAGGAGTACCTCAGCTGGGCCAGCGGCCCGATTATTGAAACTATTTCAGCCTGACACGACAAGACATGGCCCTATCTCAACCATGCAATATGCCACAATTCGATGTCTTAAATAGGGCTGCTTTAAATTTCAATAATCGGCCCGCAGGAGATGAACTGATGTAGTCATTTGACAACTTATCAGTTAATTTAGTTAAACAAATACATAGTTAGATTTCAATGTTATAATGACAGAAAAATAGAGCGATGGATGATGTTTAAAATTGGGTAGGTATCACAATTCATGGAAAATTTGGACGAGGAATCTTGAGACATGACGCAATAATTGAGACTTTGTCTGCTGGTCCATTCTGACAATCAGGTTTTAAGAAGAGGAAAAATATAAAAATTCAGATCAGAAATGATTTTATTAAGGTAATGAAGACTGAAAAATTTCATTGCAATAGAGCACAGATAGAGGAAATTAAGTATGCCTTCAAAAAATTGTAGGGTGAAAAAAAAGCCTGCAAATAAAATAAATGGTTGCAAAAGATTATGACAGAAAGAAAAATCACAAAATTAAGAAAAATTATGAATGTGTGTATCTAGAATAATTTTCATACATTTTCAATTGAATCTGGAATATCTTCAACATAAAGTACAATTTTACTCTCATGATTATTACTACAGTCATAAGAACCTAGGCACTTAACAAGACCAGTTAACTTACTCCACTCGTTACATTTCAATCCCTCCCCTAAAATATGGGTAAAACTGCTCGTGGCAACCATTTCATTATCTAGGAATACACTGACATCAAATTGATTGTTGACTTTGAAAAATACTTTGGCAGCAGGTACAGAGAAGAAATTATCATCGTCTAATTTGAAAAAAATAACATATGACTCTTTGAGCACTGCAAAAAATGGGTCAATATTCTTTGATGACAAATCACTTTTAAAGGCTTCAAACCCCATGATTCTGTCAGCTTCTAAAGCTCTTATTTCAGCTCTAATGGCAGCTATTCGCTCTTCTCTCTTTCTAGTTAATTCTTGCAACTGCCTCTGCTGTATTTCAGTCTTTCGGACTTCAGGATCTTTCCTATTTACAGGTTGTTTAGGTTTAGCGTAGATATTCTCCACTTGGGATGCTTCTGGAGGTGAAATCGGGATCGGACAAGCCCCAACCATTAACCTCGGTATGCCTCGTGGAATTTCAATGACCTTGCCACCCATTGTGTGGAATGTATCTGACCTAATAATCACGTCAGGATCAAAATGCTTGATGCACACAGTTGAATAACTGGTAATTTCCAGGTCTGGACGATCAATATTTCTTTTCCATTGTTCCCTCAGTTCAGGGTCATCAGGAAATTTGAAATTTGAAGGGCCGGATTTGCAACCCTTCACAGCGCACTTTCGAACCATTGTAATTTGAATTTGAGGATTCAATCTGGAAAAATTTACCCGATTAGAACTAAGACTTAGAAAATAGGGTAATACTACTCTGCTCAAATAAATGAGTCTGACTTACTGAGTCAATAAAAATAATTCATTTACAGTAATTACAAGAGATTTATTACAAAATCTAAAATTGTGGTTAACTCTGAGAACCCAAGTGCTGAGTCTCTAAAGTTATTAATAATTCACAGCGCTATTAGTCAATAACGATATTCTCTGGTCCAACCTTGGCTACTTTTCTGAACTCTCTGTTGTACGTTTTAGGACACTGCATCTCCGTCCAACTAATTGGAACCATCGAAACGCCACCTGATTCACTGTGAGCGATCACAACACCCAACTCATTTTCGGCAGTAGTTATTTGATAGGAATGAATTTCTTTCATCGGTAAAACTTTGGCCAGGATAATATCACCAGATCTAAAACACTTCTGCATTTCTATCGAATCTTTTTCAGTAGCTCGAACATCTTCTTTCCTGAGGATGGCCCTGAAGGGTCTCATCAGGACTGTATCACCAATACAAGTTATGCTGCAACGACATAATCTTTGGTTGATTACATTCACTTTGCAAGTGACGACATCCCCTGGCATGGGTACGATGCTCTGCTCCTTGTTATGAACTTGCACTAAAAATCCCTTATCTTGTTTTACTAAATCTACAACACCAGCAACTGTAGCATAGATATACCCCTGTCTTTCATAGGTACCGCTTCCTGAAACATGCTCGTCATCTGAGAGACAGAGCCTTTGGCCTGGGACACAGATTATTTTGTCCTCCATGTCTGAAACTAACCTGCTCTTCTGTTTCTAAAGTGGTAATGTCTCACCTTATTTGTTCTCTATCAATAAGGAATCATGGAATTTGAATGAGCACAATGCTGGTCACATAGAGGCACATTTCTTCATCCAAACATTTTTCGTTGAGCTGAAGTGTTGGAAACTTTGACTTCTACGAACTGAGCTGATTGTAGCTATTTGGCACGAAGTTATGGTAGTAACTTTTGAGCATATGAGGAGACACTGATCAGTGTAAGGAGTTTTGAGTGTGTAAATACTATTTCTGGCTTCTGCAATTCCTTTATGGGGAGGTTTCAATTGATGCCAGTAATGGGTAGACTAGTTGTTGCTCTCGCTGAAACAAATACAAATTCTCAATTACTACTTTTATTGTTTCTTAGCTAAGAATACTGGAACAAAATTGATCTTGAACATGAACAATGAAGATTTCACTTGTCAAACTTGATAAAAAGTGTGACATATCTAAAAATTCACATGCAAGTATTGTATAGGTAATACAGATAAAAACCTGAATTTACGACAAGTGATTTGAAGATGAAGGCGGGCTGCTCTCTTGAGTCCAAACTATACTTGTAGTACCATCATAGAAGGCCCGATGGCTCTTAGGGATTACAGATCAGTCTGTTCTCTCCCAATTGGTAGGCAAACAATCTAACCACAGGTTTTCAGTTGGAGGTTTCTGCAGATCGCAAGAGCCACTGGAGAAAAATTATCATTGATATTTTGAGCTTTGATTGGCATTTTTTTATTGAATTTCTTCCATTACTGTGAGCCACCTTTACGATTCCAGTATTGGTAACCATAAACGATTTCGGTTCAGGAGTGCCTTTGTCGCCCCAAGAAAACCACCTGTGCTGACTGCAACACAACCTTCCGCTCTAAATGCAAAATTAAAACCAAACTAATGATTAATATCCAGAGTCAGATTTGGGGTAGGGCCAACTGTGTCATGGCACCCGGCGGCAAATTTCAGATTTTTTTCCCCCAGAAAAAGAAAGGAGGGGAAGATTGAGAGAGAGAGAAAAAAATGAGGGAAAAACTGTTGGGCTAATTTCTAGCCTTTCAATGCCTCGCTGAAACTCTCTACTTACCCCTCAATTTTTTCCTCTCTTCTCATTCAAATTAATCTGCAAATTTTTGAAAACAGGGAGGTTGCTTATTCTTTGCGTGATGGTAGGCGATTCATGGAAGGTCATTCCAGGACCAATGTCCATTTTTTCTCTCCGGGTGCAGGATGGTTAGGTACTGGAATGATCTTCCAGTGGATCTGCAAGAATTTCCGGAGTTGATGAGTTTTAAGTTCGTACCTAGAGGTTGGGCTTTGGAAACTTATTAGTTAAATTAGATGTACTCTTTGTAAATATTCTGATAGATTCTTGTAAAATTGTAATGTATAGTACATCAAATTATTGCCATGTTGGATTTTTTAATTCTTATGTATCTTGGGTTCTTTGCCCATTCATTGTATAATAAAAAACATGAGTACATTGATGAACAAAGTGCGAGATCACGAATCTTCGTTTGCGACATTGCAGACTTCCTTGATACTTTACTTATTCTGTGGAAAAGTAGTCAACGTATTTTCTTGCAATTTATACTCTGTAAACAGAATATTCTGTATGACTATGAATCTCAAGCTATAAATTTTGCTTGTCTCTTATGGAAAAATACAATAAAAGCAGATATACTGAAACACTGCAACGGAAAAACGAGGTTTCACACTTCAGCATCAACATTTCATTCAATATTTAACTATGTTACATCTTCGCCTTTTTCGTATCACAAATCCTCATTCCTTGAAGACTCATTTTTATCTCCTAATATATTTGTTTGCAACACTTTCCTACATTGATGCACATGCATCCTTCCCACCATCGCAGAATTGGATTACGCTTTTGCTGTGATTCTGGAACTTATATTTTGTGCGCATTGGGTGTTTTTACAGAATATTACACTATATACCTGGGAGGAGGGGGGGGGCAAAATTTTATGGCACAGGGGCATCAAAAACCAAAGTCCGGCTCTGTGAATACCTACACCAGGTACCGTAATTATGCCAAAAGTTTTCCACGACACAACATAACCTCAAAGGCTTACTTCAAAGACACTTATATAATAAAGATCAGATTCATGTCAAAAGGATAAAAATCTCATATTAATCCAATCAAGGTTTCACAGGACAATGAATAAATTCAGGCAAATTAAAAATACGACCATGAACAAAAATCTTGATAATTCCTTGAGAGCATGTGTTCTGAAATGTAAAAAATCTTTCATAGGATTTTCATCGGAAAAAAAATATAACTGTAAAAATTACGAGAGTTTAATTCTCTTTACCTTTATCTTGAGGAACTAATGCACCTCATTAAGCTCAAAAAAACCATTCAATTATCCAAAATTACACTGGAACTGCAACTTTACTTCTCGACTTTTCGAAATTCTAACAACTTTAAACAAATG